AAAATATTGCCAATCTTTTCTAAATTGTTACAAAGTATGTTGCACTGATTTGATTGAGTTGTATTCTTTCGTTAAAACTATAAAATTGCTTCGCCAATAAAAATTTTATTGTGTAATTTATGATACAAATTTGGATATGATCTGCTGATTAAACCAATCAATTAACAGATTCGTCAACTTAATTTTCATACTTTGATTACAAAATGAGACTTTTTATTAATAAACATCAACCAACCCCCTTTTTATTATTAAAAAATGTGTCAATCATCTATATACTTTTATCACATAGCATGAATTAATTTTTTTTAAGAATAAATTAATGTTTGTAGATTATCCTCTTTTTTTTTATTGACAAAGAAATTATTAGAGCAGTGGAGCCAAATCCTGAAGTTGATGATTCTGATGAAGAGGAAGAAGTTATTTCTGATTAAATAGTTTAGAAAAGTGATTCAATATTTAAAAAATCCACCAGATAATTTTACATTAGCTATCAAGAATTAAAAATGATTAATAGTTTAAAATCAAAAATTCATAAACATGTTCAGGATAATGCAAAACAACTTATGTTAGACAGTTTTATTTCATTTACTATGTATGTGTTGTACATGAATTTATTTGCATTACTAATGATCTTGTTATAAGGGACTTTTCAATTTATTTATAATAAGTCCACTGGTTTTTCTTTATAGTGGACAAAAATGCCTGGAATCAAGTATACACTATAACAAACTTTGATTGTAGATAAAATTGAATGATATGGAAGAAGATATTGAAGCTAGGGATCTAATTGAATATATGATTGAACATGATCCAGAAAAAAGGTAATGATATGCTTTTGTTACTGCAGGTTGAGTGTCAAGCATTGCTCTTTAATCCCCATTCCATAAATGAATAGCCTACTTCTTTTGCTGTGGTGAAGTAATAAATATAATAAAAAATCAAGATTTTAATCTAATCAAGCAATATAATTAACTCAAAACAATTTCCTAACAAACAGCCAAATAGTCCAAATTTTTCTTTATCACCAATTTTGCATATTGAGCTGTTTCTTCCTTTTAGCTCTTGATGACCTTCCTCCTCCAGATATTTTAAATCAAGAAAAATAAAAAAATTTCATAAGGATGAGTAATTGGTAAAGAATTTCTTCAACTGAATGGATCATTTCCAAATAAACAAAGATGTGCCATTTAAAAAAATTTTACCACTATCATCACATAATTTCAATGCTCTTGTGTTTTGTTTCAGGTAGTAGTGGAAAAGTTCATATGACTCATAGAGTCTAGTCTATTTTTAATACTGTTATCTTCATTATTAATAAAAAACTTTTTCAGATAGATTAAATACAGTAATTTCATCTAAGACTTGGTATACCTCAAAAGATGTTAATGGTGATGTAAAAACTTAATCTTGCTGATATTCTTTTCTATTTTTATGAGATGTATTATTGTTGTTTCATTAATTGTTGTCTAGAAGAGCCATTTTGAACTGATAAAGATGGCTATTTTTTTATTTTGAAAAATTTCAAAAGAATCCTTTCTTAAATATTAATTGTTTCCAAATCAGACTTTTTGGAGCTATTATCTATATGTAATTTGCTACAATAACATTTTTGACTGCCCACCTTCCATAGTAAAATTCTGAGATATTTTTTAAAAGTCTTGAAATCAATAACAAATTCCTCTTAAAAACCTATAGTTCTTTTCTATTGACCCCCCAAATGATCAAATCCAAGAAGTCATTAAACAGACAACATGGATCTCATTTTGATATCTGGATTTATGACACAAAATTAATATCAACTGATCAGTTCAACTGGAAATAATTTTTAAAACGTGTGATGGTTTGTACTACACCACGAAAAAGTTGCAAGCCACTGGTGTCAATAAAAAATATAATTGTAGTATGTGAAATTCAACAGAAATGGAGATTGTGTGAGAAGCTTTTAATTTTTTCGGGAGAGACACGTTCATATTTGTTTATAGTGCAAAATAATAAACTAAATAAAATGTATATATATGGACAATGCGTAATCGAAGAAATAATTTCTATAGGATAAAAAAAATTTATCGTTGTACAGGTGAGACTTACTTTCTTTAGGATTTTGTCATATTGTTTTTTATGTTGGAAAGTGTGACAAATGAGTAATAGCGGAGTTCTTCACCTTTTGTTGTATTTCAATTGATGAGTTTATTATAATCTGGTTAATCCACTTTTTTAATGTAAAAAAAAAAAAAAAAAAAATTTTTTTGAAGATTTTATTGATTGAAAAAAAATTTTCTTCAACGATCGCACTTTCTAACCAAAATGGGGTTGAGTTAATCGAATATCTAAAAAATTTTCTAATTGAGAAAGATTTACTGTAATTCAAAAATTATAAACATGTTATTTAAATCCGGACCTATTCGGATTGAATTTTTTTTTAAAAAAAAATACAGGATCGAAAATTGCCTAACTTTTTTTTTTAAAAAAACTTTTCTTAAAAAAAAACTTCTTAGTAATTTTATATACATATATATATATATATATAAATATATACCAAAATTGAGACAACATATCTATAAAGTTTCCGGGGTTCACTTCACCACCTACACAAACGTAGTTTACCTCTCTCCTTCTCTCTTTTTTTATTCTCTACTAATAACCTTCGTTTTTAAATTCAAACATTTAAATAAACTGAAGTAAAAATGCTTTATAATAACACTAGTAGCATAAACAACTCTTACAATAATGACATTAAACATTCAGGTAATTCTTGAAAATTACATGTTTCTTTCTTTTAAAAGGTGTTATTATTTATTTTTTGAAAAAAAACAAAAAAAACAATTGTGACAATTAATGATCTTATTCATTGTGTCAACAATAAAGCTAAAAATAAAAAAATAAATTTTTTTCTTATTCTCTATTCAGAAACATACAATACACATAATGATAACATATACAACATTGAAGAACAATTGGACCTTTCGGGATTGGACCAGTTAGCAAATACTGCACTCTGTGAACTTCAAAATCTTCAACGAAGAAACGAAATAAAAATGGAAATTGAAAACACCAAAGAAACTAGATTGGATGAAGAAATGGCAATAATGAATTTGGAATTAGAAAGTCATAGTTCCCCTTCTGTCTCTACTACATTCGGAAATCGCATTTCTATTAAAGATTTATTGTCACCTCCTTCATACGACGAATGCACGACTGTTCAACTTTATTGTGTTTGTCGATCATCTGATGGTCAATCATTCATGATTGAATGTGACGAATGTGATGAATGGTTTCATGGAACTTGTGTAAATATAACAAATGAAGAAGCTACTTTAATTGACAAATACTATTGTCCAAATTGCACAGGTAAAAAGAGGAGAGATTAATATATTTAAATGTGTTTATATGAAAATTATTATCGTTACTAATTATTATTATTGTTATTTCATATATTTTAATCAAAAAAAGAGGCCAAAGGATATAAAACTTCATGGAAGCCAGAAAAATGTAAAAATCAAAATTGTAAAAAAGCAGCAAGATTTACCAAATCAGGGTTTTGTTCTGTCAAATGCGGATTGGCATGGAATCGTATAATTCTGGAGCAAGAAGAAAGGCTTGCTAAAATGGAAAGCCTGCTCAATAAAAAGAAAAAGCCCCTAAAGGGTCGAAATGTTCAAATGGTTACAAATCGTTCAGCGCAAATATCCGATAACGAACGGTTGAAAAAAATTGCAAAGAAAAAGGCTGCAATTAAAAAAGAATTGGAGATTATAGACAAACTTAATAATATTAATAATGATAAAGACATAATGGTTAAAACGAACAGTGGCGGTGAAAATAATAATAATAATAATTCAGAAAAAGACTATTCTTACGAATTTGGTCAACCGTCCAAGATTCAAAAAATAAGTCAAAATGGACAAATTTGTGGCTTTACTCCAAGTAAAGATTGGATTGTTGACGGTGATATTGTCGAAGGTGATGATATTGATGAAGTTTGTAAGATACCCAAAGGAAGATGTAAAAAACATGGAAATTGGCAAAGTTTTCGAATTTCACAAATTGAATTAATGAAATCTAATAAGGTTTGATAAAATTAGATATGTTTTATGTTTAGTTTCCTATCATTATTATTTTTTAAAAATATTACCTTTTTTAAACAGTACGAAAGCCTCGCACAATTAAATGAAAAAAAAAGATTAATTAAGCAACGTATGAGAAAACGAGCCGACATCGATGAAGCATTTGTTAATGAAACAATTGATCATACTGCTTAAAAAACGGAAATGGTTTCTAATAATTAAGAATTTTTAATAATTTTTAATGATTTTTATTTTTTCTTCGCTTAATATAATATATAATTTTATTATAATAATTGCTTCTTAAATAGGATTCAATTAATACAAGTAATTACCTTTTTTTTTAATTAATATTATAATTCTTTTTTCTTTTTTTTTTTCTTTCTACTGCTGTTATTGAAAAAAAAAACTTGTAAAAAATTTTTTTCTTTTTTTTTAAAAAAAAAATGAATTGTGGGTAAAGATTTTATTTTTTTCTGTTTGCTTATTTTTGTATAAATTTTTTTAATTATTTTTTTTTATCCATAATTTAAAATAGAAAAAAACTAATATTAATATAATATACTAGAAATTTTTTCAAGGACAATTATTTTAGGGTTACACGGATTTCATTGTGATAAAAGTTCGTACGACTATTTGTGACAAACTAGTTCCTCCCTCAATTTTATCCTTTTTAAAAAAAATTTATACTTGACTTTATTGATATTTGCTCAAAAGATCCTCCCAGATATAGGTTATTAAGGAACTAACTATAAAGGATGGAATATATATAAAAAAGTGAGCTTGATAAGTTTACTTGAAACTCAAAGGTAGTTTACTTATTTTATTTATTGATTTCAGGATCAGTGGGTTTATAGAGCCATACAGTAGACCAATTAGAGATAACCAACCAATTGGTTGGCTCTATGGATAACGAAAGAGGGAGTGGAAAAATAAAAGCTCCCGAGAAACATTATCATGTGAGAGACAAAATATCCCTCGGCAAAAGGAGAACAAAATTTATGATATTAACAGCCAATTTTATGGCGTTAGCAAATTTCATCCTTTGTACCACTTAAACCATTAATAAAATTTAAAGTTTCCATAACCAATTAGATTTCTACAGTGCAGATCATCTATAATCATAAAACTTAGCATTGTGTTATTATTATTATTATCATTATTATTATTATATTACTATTATTACTATTATTATTATTTTTATTATTATTACTATAATAATAAAATGATCTGCATATTGAACTGTAACACGAATTTTATTTATAAAATTACCAGATTAAAAAAAAAAGATATATGGTATAGACGATCTGCCCCATGATTGTTCTTGTGTTTGTTCGTAATGCATATATATAAGTTATTAACTGAATTTTTAATTCCAAAAAAAATCATTCAATTAAAAAATAATCAGGTAAATAAAAAATATATAATATATAATGTATTTCTTAGCTTAGCTGTTAAAAAATGTTAAAAGTGAAGAGAAACATGTATTTATATATGTAAGAAAGAAAATAAAAAGAAAATAAATGTGAATTGAACCAAGTTGAATTCTTTTGGTTATTGTCAGTCGTTGTTAGTCATTCATTCGTGCTCATAATTATATAATAACTGTTTAAGGATTAAAAAGATTTAATTTTTTTACTCGGGTCAATCTAATAAAGATTCTCTTTTTTAATTAATAAATAAATATAGATAATTCACAAAAGAAAATAATATATAATTTTTAAATTTTCTTTAAATAAATAAAAAATGGCGACAAGAACATCA